AATTTCCAGCAGTGAAAACAGGAAGTGAGTGGGTTTGGATGTCTAACATTTGCTTGTGAAGGACAGACATTTGAGTAAGTGGTATTGAAGTGGAGACCTGAAGGATGTGAGAGTATTTGGCTTGGGATAATTTGGAGAAAGAGCTTCCTTAAGTGCAGAAGGAAGAATAAGTGCAAAGTCCCTGTGGCAGGAATGACTTTGGTGTATATGGAAAAGCCATTGTGGCAGGAGATGCCAGGGCAAGGGATAGAGAAGTAGAAGGAGATTTTCGAGAGATAGGAAAGGGACAGATCCTAGGTCCTTGTAACGCTTGTAGTAATTAACTAAGGAATACTTTTGGGTAACGAAAACAAAACTAAGCAAAACTTCTGTCTGGGAAATTCATTTGTATGTGCAAGCATTTTTAACCTAACTGTGTTGTATCTTATAGTAGGAAAGCATATGTGTAAGTGTTGTACTTATGTAACCTAGTGTTTTTATTCATTCAATTTGCAGACATAATATAACCTTACTATGTGTTTCCTGCAGCTATTATTGGAGAATCATTAGCAGAAGAATCCCTCTGTATTACAGGAGTAAATATACAATGGAGCTTGAGGTCTGGGCAAGTTAACTGCATACCTGATTGCGAACACTATTAGATGCCTTTACGCTGTATATACTCTTGGAAGGTTATTGCCCTATAATTTCTTAGACTGTAAATTTGTTAGACTTCTGTGGTACCACCTAGGAAAACATCTAATTCCTGAGTTATGGCAATCATTTACAAATGTGAGTTGTTTTCCTCTAACCTGTAACAACTTTGTAGATAACTCTTAGGTAAATGCAAGCTTGTTTTTAAGGGATGATGTTGAAACCTCCCTATCTTACACATTCACCCCTGCTTACAACTTCACTTCTCTAAACTAACCCTGGAGGCTTTTTAGCACATCTCCTCATTATACTCCAACTGTCTCTAGGGAGCTGAGCAAGACACAGCTATTGAGCTGCCTGCTGATTATCTTTGTATTGAGATGTTAACCTTGAACTCCCTACTAAATTAGATATCAGCCTCACTTCTGAGTTAAGAAAAAGGCTGTGACTTTGTAAAGAGATAATGTGACTTGATTAAGGAGATAAGAGAGGCTAGGGACCTTATATAGTGAAAGGTCAGATCACAGTTCTGGAAAATGCTGAGCCCAAGATGAATCGTAGTTACTGAAATGATAAGAGCAGCAGCTGGTGCTAGTGGGAAACCACGTGCTCACCACCTTGGAGTGACGCTTCATGGTGGGCAGTTTAATGAAATTCATAGGAACAGCTCACGCAGCTAGAATAGGGGTTATGGAAAGAACCTATGCCAGCTGAGAGCAGTAACAGATCTCACGAATGTACAAATATCACACATCTCTCAGTCCCTGCTGTTGATAACTGTATCTGATATCTGTCCTCACAGGCAGAAGTTTCCTATGTCGTCATGTGAGTGGTAGATGCTTAAAGATAACTTGAAATTCATGAAAATGTGGCCAAAAGGAAAGTTTAGGCAAGTGAAGCTTAAAAGAAAGTGCATTTATTTCACTTTGCTAACAAACACAATGTTTACTGTCCAAAGAGTGTTTTAAAAAAATACATTTTATCGTTCATGCAGTTTTTCTTAAAACATCATTACTGTATAACTAAGGGTTTTTTACACAAAATGATTCACACATTTCTTTGGTCCCTTACAAGCCAATTGTATAATAATATACAATGAGATGAAGCATCCATAAGTTTCAAATATATACTTTTCTTCTCTATGATTATGGAAAGCACTGAACTAGGAACAATTAAAAGAATTAGCCCATCCTTGTGATGAAGAAACATCTGAATATTTGAAAACCATGATGCATAATTGTAATGAAGAATACTCAGTTCCTACCTGTATTGTAATGTTTAGTGCAGTATCGTAAATCTTTCTCTTCTTTCAACAGAAATTGGGGCAAAGTGAGTCCTTCTGCCACTTGTACAGGTGCCTCATCTTGCCATTCAAAAATGAGATCATTCATTGTGTACCCAACTAGGCAAAACATAATAAAAATATTAAGAACATAAAAAGTACATTCAAAGAAGTGAAATTGAAAAAAAAAAACAGTTATACAGTTCACACAGGATGGGAAGAACGAAGTCTCAACTCTCCATGGATCTGTGCATCATTCATTTCTATTTTACAAAAGTCCATTGAACTCTATTCAGGTGGAACACTCACCACAGAAAGTAAGAAAAGGAAGTAGGCAAATAGAAAGTGTGGCATGGCATGTGGAAACCTGAAAGGACATTCATATACATTCTTTTCCGGGGACGGGCAGTTGCTGGGTTAATTTGGCAAGTTTAGTTTTGGTTCCACTCCATTAGATTTCCCCTCACTGTCCCTCAAAAATTTCAGGACTCTTAAAACTGAAATTGCCACTGATTACAAAATAGCCTAAACTCTAGCATCTGGAGAGAAAGTACTGGAGCTGATATTTTCTTGATTTGAGCATTAACTCTTTCAGTTTATGGAATCTACTTTTATGTTCCCAGACCCAAGCCAGACAGAACGATATTTGAAAATGACATGTTTGCAACTCAGGGAAAATCAAAGTGCAAAGAAAATCCACATGGAATAGCTGTGGAGGAGGAAATACTCGCACATACTTTCAGTGAATTCAGGAGAGAATTAACTAATGTATCTTGTAATAAAGTCAACAGTAGAGTGAAAGTTCTTATCACTGTAGGGGAGGTATCTAAGAAAAGCACTATTTTATCCTTTTCTTCCCTTTGAGTGAGAAACTCTTGAAACATCAACTTTAAGGCTACCGAGAGGGAGTGAAACACGAACGGCCCCTGACCAATGAGTTATTTGCTGCAAAACGTTTGGAGGTAGGAAGAGAGAGGAAGCATGATCTGTCCTCTGAATCAAGTCAAGTGGTCAGATAAAGGACGCAGAAGCTCTAAGTCCATGAAGCAGAAAACAAGGGGTACCAGCCCAAGTAGATTATCCTGGAAACAAGCTTGGGGTGGGCGGGGGGAGCTAGGGCATGATTAGAAACAGCTAGGGTGGAGCAGGTTTGGCTGAGCAGAGTACTAGGCAGGAGCAGGGAAGGGATTACCATTAGTCCCTCGCCCCAATGCCTAGAAAGAACCTTCCAGAGAGAGAGGAACCTGATCTAGTTGTGGAGGTAGTGACCGGAGCCAAAGGCCCAACCACACCTACCTATCCCTTAGGCACACCTAACAGCATTGACTCCAGTGGGAATGGGGATGGTAGTGTCAAGAGAATCAGTGATTAGAGGATCTCTTTGATTCCGTGGCCAGAGTTGTTATCAGCAGTACCATCAGGGTGATGGCTCATTATGGAGGGACCACTATTTTGTCGAGGTTGTAAAGTCATCCAAATGGAAGTGAGCATGTCTGAATTCTGGGGATATGGGAACCTGCAGGACTGTCCTCAAGATTGCTGGACTCAGCACAACAAGAAGGACTACGCTTGACTTGCCCACACAGCAATACATTTCATTGAACCCTGCAGTTAATAATTTTGTTACTAATAATAGAAAGTTTTCATTTTTAATCATAAATCCTTTAATATATTCATTACAAATACCATTTTGCCAAGAGAAAAATAGATGAACATTTCTCAAAAATGTTTAAAGACAGTAGAACAGGCATAAATTCTTATTGCTGTTACGTAAGACATAGATCTTTTTCTTCCATACCTGAAATCACTGAAGACAAAATATGTGAGATTTTTGTCCCAATATAGACAGATTAATGGAGAAGTCAACTGAAACTTCTCTTCGTTTTTACATTCTAAATTTTCCTCTGGATCTTCTGTTAAAAGAAACTCCAAAATCAAGACCTGTTGCTGTCAAGTTGATTCCGACTCACAGCGACCCTATAGGACAGAGTAGAACTACCCTATAGGGTTGCCAAGGCTGCAGTCTTTACGGAAGCAGACTGCTGCATCTTTCATCCAAGGAGTGGCTGGTGGATTTGAACTGCTGACCTTTCACTTAGCAGTCAAATGTAACCACTGTGCCACTAGGGTTTCTTCTGAAATTAACCTCAAGGACAAGCTTTAGTTAGTATCTAAAGCAATGGCAGCGTAGCAGGTAAGAGCTCGGCTGCTTACCAAAAGATCAGCAGTTCAAACCCACCAGCAGCTCCTCGGAAACCTGTGGGGCAGTTCTGCTCTATCCTATAGGGTTGCTATGAGTTGGAATTGACTCGATGGCACCTAACAACAATACAATTTATAGTCAACGCATTTAGCTTGTTCTTGTGTTAAATAATTATCCACACTAAGTTATTTCAGTATGGACATTTCATGATTAAACTATGCTACTGCATTATGGTCCACAAAATACTTAAGTTAAAAACCAAAAAGAAAATAATGAGAAATCTACAGCTACACAGCAGTTCCTTTATTCTGAGTAATTTACTGGGTACTCAGGAAAATAACTAAATGGTAACAGTGCCTCTATAATCACCTTCAAGCACAGCTTTAAAAAAAAATCAGTATCCTTCTACACAGTTCAAAGTGTTTTAACCTTCTTACACTTTTGGTTGACAGACTTTACATAAGTCTGAACATGTTAAGGAGATCAGACTGGCTAAGGAGATAAAGGTTTTGAGATGAATTGCCTTATACGATAATAAGCTTTACAATGAAAAATACTTTATTCAGGGGTCCAAGACATTAACCTTAATTTCTACCAACCATCTCATACGGTAGCTGCAGTGAAGCACAGAAATGAATGGCTTACTTGTGTATTCAACAACTATTATGTCAGCCACCCTGCTTGACTTCCGGGAATGTGAGGTGTTAGTACCAGATAGAAAATAAGTGGCATGCGACCGGTACAAAATGCTATGTGCATTCAAAGGAGGGATCTATGATATGCTGTTAAGCCTCAGTTGAGCTGGATCTTGAAAACAGTTTAGGGCCTACATATAAAGAAAGTGAGAGAAGGTGAGGCACTCCAGGCAAAAGAAATAGCGTAATTATTTGAAATCAACTGCAAACTCCCAAGGTTTATAATGTCGTTGTTGTTAGGTACTGTTGAGTTGGTTCTAACTCACAGCGACCCCACGTACAACAGAACCAGGGCTTCCAACTGGTAACGGTTCAGTAATTGCCAACTTAAATGAGGGCAGCATACACACTGCATAACAACCAAACCTGTTGCCCCTCGGATTTTGACCCGAGGTGGAAACTAACAGCGGTGCCCTGCTTAAAAATGGCGGCTAACCGCGCTGCATTAAATGTGTGTCCCTCTCCACAATCCTGCCAATAATGCAATCTCCCTCATGGATCCCGAAAGTTTCAGGAGCCTGACGCGGGAGATGGGTTTATTGGCAGGACAATGGAGAGCAACACACATTCAAAGCAGCACGTTCTGTCGCTATCTTTGAGAGGGGTACCATTATTTATTTCCTACTTGGGTCACAATCCAACGGGCAACAGATTTGGTTGCTATGCAATGCATACTGCTGCCCTTGTTTATGTCTGCAATTACTGAACCTTTCTGAACCTGTTTAAAGCCCTGAACAGGACAAAACACTGCCCCATCCTGTGCCATCCTCACAATCATTGCTATGTTTGAGCCCATTGTTGCAGCCACTGTGTTAATCCCTCTCTTGAGGGTCTTCCTCTTTTTCACTGACCCTCTAATTTACCAAATTTGATGTCCTTCTCTAGGGA